GACCTGGGAAGTTATTGTTGCTGCTCATCTAGCTGAGGTCTTCCTGGTAGAACCATTTAGGTATTGTGCTGTGGGTTTTTACAACATTAACTAATGGTGACTGAGTTGTTTATTTTGTTTCAGGGTGGAACTGCAGAGGGGATTTGGCAACAGGTTACTCAGAAGTGAGCTAGATGACCATGGGGCACAACTTTATCAACATCAACTAGCCACCCAAAGAAAGAGACTCACAGAAAAAAAAAAAAGTATAAACCCATATTTCTCTACTAATTTGTGTCTTGCAGTTTGAGAGTTGTTATTTCTGAATATTGCTGAATTCCAGTGGCATTCATTCTGCCAAAAAGTTCCATTTTACTTTGGAGTTACCACCATCAGTTGCACAAGATTTGCAAGTGATGCACTATGGACAGATATTTCTGGTCATCTTCTTCTGATTGAAATGCTGATGCTTGAAGTATACTACTTTCTTTGTTATGTACATACTCATCAGATTGTAGGAGACATGATCCCCTATGATAAATGCCCCATTTTCGAAAGGTAGTTTACTTATTTATTTAGTCAGATTATTTTAAGATGCTTATTGTCTTTTATGGAGGTTTATATTTTTATTTTCAACCTGCCACACTGAGCCATCACATCTACAGTTATTTAATCAATTATGCAATTTATATTATAAAGAGTATTTGCAGTCATGAAAGAGATGGGGAATATGGATACTGGCTTCCCTTTCCCAAGTGGTCTGCAGAAAAAGGGTTCCTTCTCTCCCTGAGGGGGAACATTTGTCACCCAGCGCTGCCTTAACAATTGACTACCAGCAAAGGAAACCTATCTTCAATAAGGACTGCATCTGAAGGCTTGTTTTGAATCCAGATTTACAAAACCAAAGACAATACAGTGAAAAATATATTTGTAATGAACATGCTACATTTTTTTTTACCTATGTAAATATAAATTATTTGTCCTTGCTTGGAAAGACATTTTTGAACACTACACATGTACAGAGAGAATGCATTCACCTGATGATGTGTCGATATTGTACAGTAGTGCCTCGGACAGGCCTTTTTTACAGAAGACATATTGATGTGATAATAGGAAAAGCACAGGCGTCTATTTAGCTGCTTCTGGCTCACTGTCACAGCTTACTGGGACACTTGTTAATGTTATCAGTAACACCTGTGCTTTTCCTATTATGGTAAGTCAAAATATCTGCTGTGATAAAAGTCTGTACCACCCACAAAATGATATGCTGATCAAGTGTTGTAATCAAGCTAACCCATAGCATTTGTTTATGCTTAGTAAGGACATAATTTGATGAATAATAGGTATACAGATGCACCCACTTTTTAAGTCAGTGAACGTTATGTTGTGAAAACAAGAAATAAACCTCATTGTGGACATTGTTGACTGATTGGTGAAATGTTTCTACCCCTCCGCTATACAATGTAGACCTCATATTTATTAACAGATTAACATACATCTGACTTTGAACTTCAATTCAGAGTCACTGTTAATCAAGAGTCAATGAGTATGCATGGTTTTTTTCGTGGAATGAGAACAAAACACTACCACATTTTCCAGTCTCCATTACGGCTTTATTGAATTAAGCACCAGCTCAATATGGTCAACATCCAGACAAGAGAAGACATGTCCTTAAACTGAACGAGTATAAAATCATCTTAGCAACACAAAAGCACACCCTGCCCAAAGAAAAATCCATCCATCCATCTTGCAGGAGCAGAACAGCAACTGTGGGTCCTGAGTTGTTCACTGTCCAGGGGCTGACAGACTTTTGTTCATGAACTGCTTCTTGACAAAGCACACCCACCACTGAAAGAAAAAAACACGGTTTAGAAAAGTGTCTAAAGCTTCTAAAAAACAAACTACCTGGCAAGATTACAAATGGGCAGCACACAATCCATTTGTCACCAGACAACAGGATACAGATTGTTTTAGTGCTGAAATATGAATACAAACCATTGTCAAACATCAGCTATAGCTCAAATCTCTGTGTCGAGTAACAATCATGTTACAATTTACACTGTGTAGTCTACTTTGTGATTATATTCTGAATAAAGGTTACATTAGTCCTGATCATTTCACTTCAAAACACATGAACTGCAGGTCAGAGCCAATATGACCACTGAACTTTGGTTGTCATGTTTTGAAACCAGTTCATAATTTATCTTTATTACCTGGTGCAAGTGCTGCGTGCGTTGAAAAAGCTGTAGTGGTGTTATTTTGGAGAAGTCTTACTCACCTTGCTGGGTTTGTCTGTCTGGGGGTCAAACACGCGGTCACATAGCCTCAAGCCCGTCTCCTGGCGGATCTGCTGGAGGTACGCCCTCATAGTCTCTGGAAAAGGTTGCAGAAACAGTATTATTGACCCTGCACCTTTAATATTTCTCCATCTTTACAGGACATAGAAACTAGTGCTAATATTTAGAAGGAAAAAGACCGTTGTGACAATTATGATAGGATTCACTGCATATTAACATGAACATTGTGTTATTTCAGTAAAACTGAACTTAAATATCCAGGTCCTCTTCCACCCAGTTTCATCAACCACAGTGCTGCTGATACTGTGTAAGAACTAAGGGGACACCACGCAAGCATGAAACAGCACTTCCAGCCTCACATCTGTAAAGCTGATGGGGCTCTAGTGGTCAGCAATGCTATTTTTGGCTTGATATTACTTCATGCTGGGAATTAGATGAACTATGATAAGGGTAAAGGGAAACTGTCGCTAATTCAGAGTACAAGCTTGTGAAACAGCATTTAACACTGCAAACAATCATTAGAATTATACCTCATTTATAGTGCTGCTTCTTACCTTCCTCCTGCTTGTTTGCAGGTTTAAGATACATAGCGTTGAGAGGGAAGCCAGGTTCTCCCGGGATGGGAAAGTTAGTGATGCCCAGAGTGTACATCTCTTTCTCTCCCTGGCTCCTGGAGCTGCACTGTAAAGAGCACACAAATTTTGCAATGCAAAGGGATAGAGCACCTTTTTACTCGCACCCATTTGAATAGGCATTCAAGCAGCTAATTCACATTCTACTCATCATTTAATGACTCCCTAAAAACAAACTAGTAAACCCTTGTGGTTCTTCAGCCATTGGTTTAGAAGCCACACTTTAACATATTATTATTTAACATAATTGTTGCAACACATATTAAGATTTGCATGAAGCCAGTGTAACCTGTACATTAAGAAATTTGCAATTTACCTTCTGTAGCCTCTTTAGGCATTCAGAGATGTACAGTGTGACATAGATCAGCGTCCTGTCCGCCTCATTCTGAAAGAAACAACACGCACGCACACACGCATGTTACATATAATAATAATAATAATAATAATAATAATAATAATAATGAAAAAATTTGCTTTTTTTTTTAAGTATAACTATTATTATAATTAGTACATTTTAAGCCAGGTCTGAACAGTAAAAGGTTGTACAGTTTAAATCCTGAGCAAGTATGCATAGCTAAGGGGAACGGGAAGAAGCAAGCTGGGGCATGTGGAAGAAAAATGCGCACAGCTGCTTCGAGAGAGAGAGAGAGAAAGAAAAAGAAAGAGAGATGGGGAAGAGAAAACACATACAGGAACAAGCACACTTGTGACAGTACTGCTTATAGCTGCCAACACAAGTGACATTTCATTTGATACCTTGATTTCATAGTTCTTAAAAAACACGTTGGCCTTGAAGTAGTAGATAGCCTCATCAATGATGTCTGACTCGATGCCTGAAATGACAAAAAGGTATCCATAAATACATAAGATGGATTTAATAATGTATATTTACAGGAGTGTTGTTAGACATGCATGTTTATCAATGCGGAGAGTCATTTCCTGTTTTGGTCACCACATATCTATTTTTATGATGTGTTAAAGCCCTTTTCATTTGTGACATACAGGCTGCTCAGAAACCACTGCGAGCAGCCGAACACCATTGCCTGTGTCAAATAATATACAATTATAATCTCCAGTTTGTTTTAATAATTTGACAAGAGGCATATTCTGGCACTTCTTTTGCAATGGTGAGACGAGGGACACACTTTTCCAAACTCTACAGACAATGGAAGCTGGAAACGCAGTGTCAATGGACATTAATGAAGAAGTTGAACTTAAGGATGCACTCTTCGGGCCATATATGGAAGTGAAGTTGATACATGTATCAGGAAATGAGCACCGTATCATAACACGGTATGCACCCTGCGTGACACTGACTCAAGCTTCGTCTATAAGCCATTAAAAACTAAACATAACAAATGCGTTTTATCATGTATGTGATAAAGCGCGGTGGGCTCCCACTTTGTGTTAGTCAAAACCACCGTACAGCCTTACCGTCGCCTCTGGCTGGTCCTTTGAACTGCGTTTTGAGGGGAAGCAACGCCATGTTCCCCACCAGCCTGGTTTCGGGGACCATCAGGCTCGAGTGATACGCCTTCAACAGAGAGGGAAAGGTGCTGTCACATACAGTATAGTTCACCAGCTACATTTGTGTCAAATAGCATCAGTGGCATCTCTGCTACCGTCAACCCTGTTGCAAAGGCTATGCTACCACAACACCAAGCTATATATTTTATAGATACTAAACTAAGAAGTTGCAGAAAAGTACAGAAAAAGACGGTGCATTTGTGTTTTTTTTTGTTTGTTTTTTGTCGTGTCCAGCGTCACTAAACTGCCAGCAAATGCTAACATAGCTAGCCGACTATGCTAACGTCAGCTCGGAGGCCCTTGTGTCACCCAGCGGAGTTTCTGTTTTAGCTCTGAACCGCACACTGGAGGCTTGTGCTGGTCAATAATCATGTAGGATTCACTCACCGGCATGTTGAGCGATGAATATCAGTCCAACTGCTCAGCGAGAGAATAATAGTAGCACCTCAGGACTGTTCTTCCGCCTGTCCCACCCTTCAGCTTTACAGGAAGTGGCTACATGCTATGTGGCGTAGCTGCCAGGTGGAGGCGCTAACACACCGGTTTTCAGTCACACAGGCAGTTGTTTTATATTTTGTGCAATATTTTATTTAAAAATATAGGTTTAATACACGTATTTTATAACTCTTTACACTTCAACATTGTCCTGAAATAATACAACATGAATGAGTTAAAATGAAACATAATCTGAATGGCACAGAAAACGAAAACTCCGTGATATGTTTATGATCTTCAGAGTCAGTATTTTTCCCATGTGCCTTTGCAGTCACACGCCATCCTCCACCTGGGCTTGATATGGTGAGTCTTGATTGTTCTTGTTTGTTTGTTTTAACACTGACAAGTCTCTTTTTGTCCAGGAGTCACATTACTCCTCAGCTAGCTGTCCACCTTGTCTTGAAATATCTCGTCATAATTTAGGTTAGAAGGCTCTTCATCATCCTCCTGTAGAAAATACAAGTATGTGAATAACAACAAATTAATATTATTATAATAAAACATTGTCAATTATTATTCAATTTTGTTATTGTTGTTTGTTTCTTCACCTTTGGCTCCTTGAATTCCAGGTCCTCTCCATACTGTATTGAGAAGTCAATGTGTTGCAGTACTATGTTGATACCTTCCTCATCTGTGCAGTCAAAAGGCAGGAATCTCACCATACTGTAGTCGTCAATCTGGACACAGACACAGAGACTGTTTCACTAAAAGAAAATCTAAATTCCGATCCAAAATGAAATGCTGTATCAAATTAAGGGCTTTACTTACCAGATCACAGATGGCTTTAGTCAGGTTCTTGAACTTTGTACTGCTGATAGTATTGGAGTTATCTTCCATCATTGAGTACATATCTGGGTCCAGGTATCTGGTGGAAAAGACAAACCATCAGGAATGCTGCTTCCAGATAGATAAAACCTGTTTAATCTGCATTAAGATAATAGAGAACTGCCTCTTTCACTGGGTTCAGGTTTTGAAAAACACTGCATCAAACACTAATTCAAATTTGAAAGACAATTCAGTCACTCTTGAATTTAACAATACTTACTAATGATTCACTATGCCCTTTCCTTCACTTGTGTCTTAATACCAACATTACTGCTGCAGGTTTGAACACACATAACACTGTGGTACTCTACCGATATGAAACTTACTTTTCAATTTCCTTCTTGGCTTTGGGACTAAGCAGGTCCATTTTTGTCATGATGTTTACTTGAGGAATCTCTAATGACACCATGGCACTCAGGGCAGCCATGACTCCTGAGATGAACTGTAGTTAGAGGAAAAGGGAAAATGCTTTCATTACGACATGAAGTAATGTAATAGCAGAAATGAGGCGTGTTCAGACACAAATGGGAATCAAATAACCAGATCAGTTACCTTAAAAGACTCCACCATGAACTGGGAGTCTACCAAAAAGACCCCACACACCCGAAACTCCCACTGCTGGAGCTGCTCCACCAGCTGTCTCATTACAGGGAGGTGTGTGTAAAGTTCAATCTGACCTGCAAAAACAAGCCACATGTAACCGCGTTAGATCGGAAAAACATAGCTCCAAAACTTGGATTATGCTGTATCTATAATGCTGATGTAAATACAACTGAAACAGTACTTCATAATGACAATGCTGTAATGAGAACAACGGCAAATCTAATCTTAGTATCTCTTGTTCACTTGTTTTCTTT